GTCGCTTTTGTTCCACGGTTGAAGGCTAATTTCTTCAGATCACTTTTGTTCCGGAAGTCAGGAGGTAAATTTCAAGGCCGGCCGAAACATCGCTTTTGTTCCTCGGGCATCCGTCTTGTTCCGTGTGAGAGAGGGGGCTGCACTCTCCCTCCCCCAAACCCTCTCTTTAGCTTTCCTCCTAATTCTTCCTTTCATAGATTAGGTTTGGTTAGGTTAGGTCAGGTTAAATTATTTAAATTATTGATATTTTTGCTAAGGAGATAATGACAATTTAACTAAATTAAAGCCCACTTGAAAGAAAGAATTAGGAAGAGGGCGAGTACAGCCCCCTCTCTCGCGGGACAAGAGAAATGTCCGCGGAACAAAAGCCTACCTATCTACCTACTGAATCTACCTACTGACCCCCCGGAACAAAAGTGATGTGAGTAACTTAGCCTTCAACCGTGGAACAAAAGTGATTCAGCCCCTTTCCTAACCTTACCGAACCTAACCTAACCTGACCTAGCCTACCCTGACCCATCCCAACATAAACTGACCTAAACCAACCTAATCAACCTAACCCAACCTAACCTAGCCTAACCTCACTTAACACAGCATGCATAGTTCAACTATTTATAGTGGTAGCATTCAATGAATTGGTCGGTCCCGAAATCTACCTACTGACCCCCCGGAACAAAAGTGATGTGAGTAACTTAGCCTTCAACCGTGGAACAAAAGTGATTCAGCCCCTTTCCTAACCTTACCGAACCTAACCTAACCTGACCTAGCCTACCCTGACCCATCCCAACATAAACTGACCTAAACCAACCTAATCAACCTAACCCAACCTAACCTAGCCTAACCTCACTTAACACAGCATGCATAGTTCAACTATTTATAGTGGTAGCATTCTTCTTCAAAAGGCTCAAAAAGTGTGTATTGGTAAAAGCAAACAGACTGCATAGTTGTAGATCTATCAAGGAAATTGCATTTAATCATCAAAGAGCCAACAGGGCATACATCATGTAGAGGAAGCAAGTGTATAATGACCAGCCTACACTGCTACACTGCGGGTGTGGGCGTTATAAACAGCTCATGTTACATTTGGGGTCGACCAGGCAGGTCCGGGCCTCATAACTTACCTACCAGGATAGCTGTTTATCGCACTCACCGAGTATAAATTAGTCGTTTCATTCGGCGGATCTGCGAAATTGTAAATCCGCTATCGGAGACACGTAGAAAGCTCCGGTCAGAAGAGCAGGTGAAAGGTCGCCAAACATTCCTGGTTCTGTCATTGTATCGGAAATGGAAACGGTTGTTCCTGTCACCTAGAGAATTGGGTGATAAAAGAGGCTGCATGGCATTTAGTGGATGTTTACGAAATGTCTTTCTATAATGTGCGTAGATTTCCCCTGCGATGGACAAGAGTTGAGAAAAAAGGTTTACAAGAAACACGCTTGCCTAATATGTAATATCTCCTTCAATTTCGTAACGCACCTCTTCCCCATATCCATCTTCTCTTGTACTTATTACAGGTCTGATGACAACTATAATGCATCATTAGTCCGATCTTATCAGCAAATTACAATATACATATCTATCTATCTTCTATATAAATAAAATTTGAGTTTTTTCTGTACATTGCTCAGAATCATAAATTTGTAGGTTATTTTTACATTTTATACATTAAAGAAGCCGAAACAAGTCTCATCTAAATTTCTGTCTGTCTGTCTTTCTGTAACACTCAAGATGGCATTTTACGCAATCTTCTCCAGGAAAACGAGAGTACCTATCAAGATCCAAGTCATTTTAATGTATTCACTGGATTGGCGAGAGTGTCTTTAGCCTTAAAATATGGCCTCACTACTTAGTAAATAAAATTACAGACGTTCAAAAATGCAGTTTTGTGCGATTTTTGTCAAGTTTTCGTCCAATTTTTGTCACATAATGATCTATGAAATAACGAACAGCTGTTCGGATCAAGATTATTTTTTCTAGCTGTCACTGATATGTTTACAAATGTTGTTTACAAATACCGCAACCATTTCCGACCACGTTTTGAAGGTAAATCCCATCCAAGTGACATTTGTTGTGAAAGTTTTACATTCGTTATATGACTAAGCTTCTCTCATCCCTATCAATAGAGGTCGCTTGAAACACACTGTGTCTAGTGTTCATATCTATATAAAACCATAGATAAAACATACTCCCTTAAAACCATAGATAAAACAAAACCAATGAATACACACCTGATAAAACGCAGAGCTCAGTAAAGCTTACTCAATCTATTTTCAAGTTAACATATTCAAAAGACCAATGAATGGTTGCCTTGGAACACTTCATATTGGAGATTAACAGCTGCAATTACAGCTATAGGCTACAAACTAAAGCGTTAACATTCGCATGAGCGATGCTAATCTGCACGAATGATTGTGACCTTTGTGTGTTATATCTCCCACACCACGGGTAGGTATTGCTGTATATAGCGCTTCATCACTGTCTGCTAGCGCCAGGGTGGGGAATGTCACTGCCAAGGGGGAGAAGCATTTAACTGGGCCAGAATATTAATATACAACGAAAGTGTATCAGTTTAGTTGACTTGTGAGGAAAACAAAATACAAAAATCTTTCAATGTGAAACTGAAATCATGAAAAGAAGATGTTTTAGAACCCCCTTGAGAGCTCTGTAACCTTTTGAGAATGGTTTTAGGGTATAAATTAACAGTTGTGAAATACAATGAATTGCATGTTTTAAATAACTTTTAAATACGTCTCCAACTCCCTAACCTCACTCATAAGATCGTTTAGTGCCTGATTTTGTTGTTGAATATTAAATAATATAAAACATGAACTTGTCTGTCATCTAGCAAAGCTCAGTCTACTCAAATGCTGCAGTTTAAACCTATTTACAAAAACTAGCCTATTTATATTCAATGGCAAAACAAAGTATTCTTGGAATCGCCTACCCAAGTTCTTTCCATCATCACATTTACATAAGTATCCTAACTGTGTTACTCTCAATTCCGTCATCTACTGTTGCAGCATACAGTATGCGATCCACACATCCTTGACTGTAGCACCCCGGAGATCTGCAGAAACTGTTCATAATTACCACTGATGGCTCGAGATTGGACCAACGACTCACCATAACGAAACGAACCGAGGTAATCCATCCACGTCTGTCTATTTGCATGTGAAATGACAGGGAAAGAGTAGCAATCAGGCCTTGCGCAACGGTGGTCTGTATCTGTGAGCTATGCTACTTCTTTATCACTGACCTTGCCGTCGTAACCACCACAAGGAGCGGCAGATAAGCTTGTAGAGCTGCGGAATTCCGCAACTATGTTGAACCGTAATGATCGGCGTCGCCAAAGGAGCCGTAGCGACGGTTTTGGTTATCTTTACGTCCCTTTGATTCCCCCCTGTTTCTACCATGTCGAATAAATCGCGCTAATTCAACGTCTTGTCTATGTTGACGCTTGATAACGCAAGGCTCAGTAGGTCGAAGGGACAGGATGGCTCAAGTTTGCCAGGATACCGCAGGGTGGGAAACATCCGGGAGAAAACAATATTTTTCCTAGGTTTTTCATGAGTGTCTTACGTGTATCGTCTCGCTAAGAAATGTCGTCTTTAACGATTTTTTTCAAACAATTACGTACTCTTTGTACTTAATATTCCTTTATAGTATCAGGAGATGGAGGATTGTACGTTTCACTTAGTAAAATGATTAAGATTGAACAAAGTTAGCATTAGATTAGGTTAGTAGTTAGATTAGGCACAGTGAACTGTCCAAGAATGAAGAAATTAATGCAATTGCGTTTGGTGGGGAAATCAACTACTGAATAACCCATTAAAACGTATCTGAAATACACAAATGGTATATTTTGTTTATACATACCTTGACTCATACTGTATTCCCTTGAATTTCAAATAGTTTACCGAAAATTGTAACGAGTCTCGTGTGACGTTTATCCCTAATACTGTGGTTAATGTGTTTATGTTATGTGTCAACATGATTTGTGGATTTCACACCCTTGTGAGATCAAATGAATCCTCACATTGTTGTAAGGTGATGTTTACAATGTAGGGAAAGATCACTGACATTACCTGCCCCTTCAAGAGGGCTTCATCCACTGGAACGTGGCACGCTGCACATTTCCATTAGTTATTGATGTAACTTAACCCCTAGCCTGTAGAACGTAAACCACTCTTTCCACTATTCCAGCCACGCCCAAATATGAGATGATCCGTCCCCGGCCTTGCGATGTTACAAGTACATGTTTCACCCTTCTCAGCAATGCAGCATACAAGGCCAGACAAGCGGCTTGTCAAGGTGTTATCACCTCGCATCTCTACCAACTACCCATCAGATTACAAGACCATGTGTCAAATTGTGTTTTTATTCCAACCACTCCATGTAATTTGCTGATAAGATCGGACTAATGATGCATTATAGTTGTCATCAGACCTGAAATAAGTACAAGAAAAGATGGATATGGGGAAGAGGTGCGTTACGAAATTGAAGGAGATATTAAAGTAATTGCGATAGTTTGCATTTTGATTTTAGCACATTATGTTACGGAAAGTTTATTTCTCTCCTAAATCATTTGTCCGAAACCACCTATTAGCTTGTGTAGTAAATTGAGAGAAAAAAAATACTTCGCAGCCAAAATGTTAAAACTTACAAACTCATTCAAGAAATGTATTAAAATATTTTACTCCTTAGGTCAACCTAAAGAGTAAATGTGGTTGAGAAGAGATTGTCTTCATAAAAATAACAATCACATCTTTGTGTATAATTTCTTATCAATAATAGGCCTACTTATGTAGGCATACAAAATATATTATCATATCCAACACATCATTGTACAAGCTCCTTCCAAATTATGTATATTCTACTTCAAAAACCTTTACAAAAGAAAATTTATTTAACTATACCCCAAAAAATCAAACTTCACTCAGATCTACTAACTAATCTACTGACAAAAACACTATAAATAAATGGAAATAAACACAACGAAATGAATTTTTCTTACATTTTGTCTATAAATAACATCCAAAGTGTAACAACGCAAACTGAGACAAGTAACTCATATTGTGTCAGTCAAATCTTGGTGACTTTGTCTCTAACGATCACAGGGTTGTTCCTTCGTATTTCCTCGGCACCGAGAGCCCGATAGTCGAAGGTACAAGAATGATCTTCGGAATATCTGTGGACGCCACAATACACACCTCCACATCGACATGCGAACCCTGTCAAACCGACCTTCTTCTTACACGAGGAACATCGATTTTTCTTGTGATGCTTTTCATCGGCCTTACAATCACCAGAGTCAGGAGATAGTTGGGGATTCTCGTTAGGTTTTGAAGAGCAATTCTGTTCTGCGTTGCTTGAAGGGTGATATATCCTAGTCCCGGACGAGTTAGGCTGCTGTTGCTTCTTCTTTAGAGCTTCCTTGAAACATACTGAGCACAATCCGTCAGTAGAGGAACTGCCGTAGAAGCCACATCCTCCGCGGCACAGTGTCTGCAAAGAAGTTGCCTCCCGTTCCATCTTATATACGAACTTCAAATCTAGGAGAGAAATAAATTTAGAAAGTCAACTGTTCACTTCATGTGTTTCCTATGTAAGTATAATTACTGTGTGTGGCAGTTGAATTAACGAATGATAAGACAGTTTATGGTGTATGTAAAACCCTGGATTATGGTGAAATATTACTTACTTATTGGAACATGCTTCGATGTAACTGAACGGATCCAATTTTACAAATTTTAAAGGTAAACACAGTTCCAATGTTGATGTGCGACGAATAAAAATGATTTTGAAACAAAGTGACTCACATGATGATTTAGATTGGTCAGCTGTTGAGAATTGAAATAATCTATTTATTCTTCCCATAGAGGAACATGATTATTTTAAATGAGACATTAAACATGGTTTATGTAATTTGTTACATGTTCATCCACAGAGAAGAAATAGAAAAGTTTACTATTAATCTGCATTACAGCGCAAATAATGTTATGTAATTAAATCTATCTGCAATGGGGGTTTTCGGATAAAGCTCTAAAGATATTTATATGCTAATATAACGATTCGATTCGATTGAATATAATGTACAAACATCTCTTTTGCTGTAATGTTCTCAGTCTCCATTTTTATATTGAATATGATTTTTTATCATAATGTTATGCACATATCTAGCAAAATAAATTCGCTCTTTTACTAATTAACAATTGTTAAAATATAACATAACTTGTTTGTGGTTTTAAGTTTTTTTTAACAATGCACTTTAACTAAATATGAGATATGTATCCAACTCAGGAACAAGTGTAGACTTATAGACTAAAATTACAGAAATACTTTTAAATACACTTTTTGTACATTCAATCCAAGGCAAACAACAATGGTTTCATAAAAATCATACAAATAATATTTATTGGCGTGGACAACTTCCCGGCTAGCTGGATTTAAGTAGAATCACCATTTGAATTATTTTTCTTTGCTTCCATAACCATGTAAAATAGTCCAATTACATGCATGAAGTAAATGAAAAATTTTGATCTTGAAACGCATGCGGCATATCATAGGGGACAATTTTAACGCATATCCACGGGAAGGCCTTTTCGCCGTTAACTTCAAACATATTGTAGACCACTTGATTGCATCCATAAACAGTGAATTGTGTAAAATATTAATTTATTCATAACTGCTACCATTCATAGAGGCCTGGTTGTAATAAGTAGCGTATTTCCGTGTAACTGGTTGTCGTTGTAACCTATTATTGTCCACTTGAGGGCGATTCGGTTGCAAGGTACGTGTTATACATCAGATTAGCAACGCTACAGTAGCGGTTTGCTTTGACGGAACGGAAACTACGATCTGACTTGTTTATATGTGTTGTGTGTACGTTTAATACAAGCATGTCAGTAGTCTTTAATATATGAGCGAATATGTACACTAATGTGTGAATTTACAATTGACTTGGGCAAATCTAAACTGCGTGTTACATAATATATCATAGATTACACACACTCACTACTAGACTACTTACCATTGCGAAACACCGAATGACAATTTGAAGTGAATTTCCGGTTGTGTGGGACTTTATATTTAACTATGGATTAACCAAGTATGTACGACTATTTTGTAAAGCATTGCTTTCATGATCGTAACCAAAAAGTAACTAAATAGCGTTTTTAGGGTCGGAAATCCATATAATTTTCGTGATTACCACGATATTGCCGTAATCGTGGGAGATACGAAAGAATGTTGCTGAGATCACTGGAGACGACCAAGAAGTTTCTACGGCGTAATCAATTTCAAGAGCCAATATTATTAGTTTCGCGACTGAGTGGAATTTTCTCCGTAACCATTAGGCGAACCATAACGCTTCAATATACTAAATTATTTGTTTTTTTTAAGCTCTACAAAATGGTTTGGAAAGAAATTGTGAAACTTTGCGTTTTTAGGGTCAAAAATGGGAAAACCCTACTTTTACCCCATAAACCCCCGTTACCATCGTCCGATCATGCTTGTTCGCAAACTCGTTCGAATAAAGGTAGGTTTACACGTTTGTACAAAATTTCATCAAAATCGGATCATTTTTGCTGGAGTTATCGTGCTAACGGACATATATATGGATTTGAACGGATGGTGTTTTTTGCCTCTAGGGACCTCAAAATGAAAAAGTAAATCGGTCCCGGGTCCAGGTCTTACCATGAGTACTGCGGTGATAGCTTATTCCCTATATGGGGAATTCGCTAATACCACATAGACAACCAGGAGATGTTGGGATGCTGGAACCATAGCACGTAGTGGTTGTTGTTATTGCATATTAATACACACCAGTCTGGTTCCGCGATCCCAACGTTTCAATTAACCCGCTGTCAACGCATGCCCTAGCCGTTGCCACTGGGGCCGTACAACGAGGAGCTCCCTTCTAGTTAACAAATTGAATCTCAGATATTCATGAAACAATCATGGAGAATAACCCAACAATTACAACAACTTGTAATTTCCCTACACAGCACAGACAGGAGCTTGGCAGTCGAGGATTGGAGATAATTATAGCTTGTTTAGGTTCAAGTGTGGTGAAACTACCGGTCGAGCGTTATGAAAAATGAACAAGTCTTTGTGTGGATGATGTTTGTTTCAATCTACTGTAGAGGTTAGTGAATTATCTGACTATATCATTGCATTTAGATACTGAAAGTAGATTTCTCAACTTGTTAGGTGTGAATCATGTTTTGAAGGATAAAAGCAAGTGATATATCGTGTTATTTACCATTTTGAAATTGTATTTGAGAATGAGCAATCCTTTACATAAAAAATTGTTTTAATGTTTTTTGACTATCAGAAATAGAAAAGTATGCCCAAACATCAAAACGCACTCTGAACATTAGAGCTGATGGTTTCAAAATTATTTGTTCAGATCTATAATAATTATCTATAAGGGGGTGTCTCATCTTTTAAGTGATCTAATGAAAGGCAGCAGGTTCAAACTTGTACAGGAACCTCCAAGACGGTCATATAAACAAATAGTTAAAACACTTTTAATGGTGATAGGATTGCACTAGTGTCTCTTCATTGTAAAGTAGCATCATTGTAGTATGTAATCATATTCAGTACAATTCCTCCTCTTAGGATATACAAATATTATGCCTATGTGAAAAACCTGGCATTTTCTGCCAGGCCAAAGCTCTTTCTGTCTGGGGAAAATGCCTTTGAATTAAATCAGTAACACAATCTTCACAGTAAATGTATGGTACATGCCTCTAACAATGCTATTATTCTTTGGCATAGTTCATTGTTAACGTTCTCATATAATATCTAAGCAAACCCTATGACTTTCATATCTGTAAGGAAGGCTACCATATGTGTAAGGTATCTTCCGGAACCCTTACAAGTCGACACCGCGAGCATATCAGCAGTTTCATGCAAATAAGTCGATCAGCTGTTAGTTATCAGGCCAGCCCCCGGCGCCGTCTATCTCTATATCAATACACAAAATTACCCCGCGATATCTCCGTCAATAAAACATGTGATATCTTAATTATCAGCGAGCGTTCTCTAAGCAGCAATGTTTAGCGCGTGTTGATTTATTTAATTGCGCCAAAACCGCCGCCGGGCCCGCCAAATCGGTAAAAACCAGCGTTGATTTAGGAAGTCGACTTGAGCGATGTTAATGGCCGACAAATCGAGTTCTAGATTTGAATTTAGATTCGTTCTTATTTGCATAAACGGTTTCATGTGTGAATTAGAAAGGGCGGTTTTTACCGGTCTTTAGCTAGACAGATAAGACTGACTAATTTATGAATAGTTTGGTTCTGTATGAAGACGGATGATCTGGGATAGTGAGACTTCCTAGAGGTTTGGAATGAAGTTTTAACAACTTTATTAATTAATTCCCTAGAATGGATGTAAATATATATTTTATGTTTAGGCAAATCTTGGGTTATTTGTTTTATCACTGATCACTAAGAATTATGATCAACGGTTGTCATATTAGTTATGCTAGTTGTTGATGACATCATAAATGCAACAATTTCACGTTATTACGTTGTACTCGATATGAGTCCCCCATTTTTTTCCCTACAGTCACCCGACAAAGTTGGCTTCCTTGCACTGATTATATTACAGAAAGCTCATAATTGCTGTTTACTTACTTTGTCGCACCGTTTATACTTCGTCTCACGGTTTATACTTTGGCGCACACCAGTATTCCAACCAAACAACACAAAACAACGTGGTTTTACTATGCACATAATCCTTGTACACTTGGAAATAGGCTGGCAACACTTAGGTACTGCTACTATGATCAGCTGATCGACTATTGATACTACGATTTATTTAACCTGTCATTTCGTGTTTATATTCTACTAGCTGACCGGGCGAACTTTGTACCCTATAACATGAAAAAAGTTAAATCTACCGGCAACCTTTATAACTTATTATACCTATTATATCTCGACATGATATCATTCTCATCATGACAGTCGGTGGACATCGATCATTATATCTCACAAAATATATACAACATAGAGTTAATATCATATTTGGCATGGGGTCCCTAAATCGTTTAGAGGTGGAATAAGACGGGGGTTTAAAAAAAATTAAAATTTTAAGGGGGTTCAAGAGGCAAGCAGTTATTTATGAAGAATAGCCAACAGCTCGTTGTACAATGTTGGTACCGATGTATTTCTTTTATTAAAATGATAATTAGGAAACCTTTAACGTAATCTTTACCGTTGGCAAATTAATTTCTTAACATTTTTTGGCATAAAACAAATTTTATATCTTCAACGTAATATTCAAACTTCTAAAGATTGGGAAAACACCATATTGTGTCTTATTTACAATCAATTCCCGATAACACTAAACCTCATGGATAGCTTTGCAACCACCCATATCAGCTGACCGACAATGAAGTGAAGAAAACAGGAATACCAACATTTTAAGGTTGTTAAGGTTGTTTTGTCATAAAAATGTGTCTGACAATACTTTTAATTTGGGTTGCGCGTTAAAACCATTTTTGTACGCAATCATTACCCTCTTACAAAGAAATCACTCTTTATTACTCGTATAATGTTCAGACATCTAGTACAATAATAATCTTATGTTTTTGTTTCTGTGTTAGAAACCTTCGGAGTAATCTTGATGATTAGCCTTAGCCAGGTCATTAGTATCTGTCTAGCAGTTTGGGGATATAACAATACAACAAAAGACCTTTATCAGCAAGGAGTCGTGTGCATATCTTGGATCCCGAGGTACAACTGTAAATAAAACTACCGCTAGTAGTCCAGGAGCTGAGAGGGTTTGAGCATGCATG